GTTGACATGTTTTCTCTTCAGTAATGGCAGAGGGAGATGACATGTGCTGCGAAGACCCGGATGGTTCAAAGCGGCCAATGACAGAGGAGGAGAAACGTGAACAAGTCAAAAGGTCTGCACAGATGCCAGGCGACTTTTAGTGATGCAACAGGGTTGAATTTACGCAGTTGTTTTTTTTTAATGATCTGGTATATCGCCGCTCTCTCAGGCTGGAGGAACTGATGCGAGTGAAGCAGGCAGAGAGAAGAGAGCGTGAGCGAGCTGAGGAGGTGGAGCGGGAGAAGCAGCGAAGGAGGCAGGGCCAGGAGTTGCAGCAGATCCGGCAGAAGATACAGGACGATGAAATGAAGAAACTTGCTGATCAGCGAAGGAGAGAGAAGATGGAAGACAAACTGGCCAGGTTAGCTCCTTGAAATATTGAATATTAGATGTTTGAAGTGACAAAAAAAAATCCATTTTGTTAGCAGTCAACACTTAAATGAGCTAAGATCCTGAAGGATCATAAGTCACCATTATGCATGTAGCCAGATTTGATTGACTTGGCAAGATGCTATCTATAATGATGCAGTTTTTGTTTATTACTCATAATAGTGCAGTTTGGTGAAAATTTCTTGCCTTTAAAGTTGTTTTACAGTCTTTTCTTTTTTGTCCCTGTTAGGCAAAGGGTTAAAGACAAAATTGCACGAGACCGAGAGGAGAGAGCACAAAAGGTACCTCAGACACAGAGCTGTTGTCTATTTATCCCTTCTGCCTGTAATTCTCACCCGTCTGTTTCTTTTCTCTGGTTTAGTTTGGAGGTGGTGCAGCATCAAGCACAGTGACGCCGGCCCAGCCGACCCCACCCAGTCCGTCGTCGCCCACCGGTCAGGGGCCCCCACCCACAAAGAAGGAATATGATGAGTCCAGGATACAGGTGCCAATTGTTTTGGGTTTTAAGATTTGCCTGTTCTCTTTCCTACCTTTTTTGTGTTTCATTGAATCCATCTATAAATCATAAAATAAAAATAAATTAAATAAATTATCTTCCATAAATTTATAGTAAATGTTGATAATTATTTGAAGTAGTAAAACACTGAGAACTATAGAAAGTTGAGTGTGGATCTTGTACACGGGAAGCAGGTAGGGAGTGGGTGTGTTGCCTTTGTCCCTGCCATTTATCTTTTTTTCATGAAAGAGATTCTAAGGAATGACGTTTCTTCCTGTCTAATTCTCTTTAGCTTGAATGCAGTGAGACTATTTCAGATGGTTATAATGCGTCTAACTTCACTCTTCCTTTCATCAAATTTTTCAAAGGTTCGTCTGCTGGACGGTTCCACCATCAACACGGTCTTCAAGGCCCAGGAGCCGCTAGCGGCAGTGCGTGTCTACGTGCAGGTGAACGGCAACACACCTGAGGGTCAGGACTTCACTCTGCTGTCTCCCTACCCGCGTCACGTTTACACTGAAATGGACATGGAGAAACCTCTTAAGGAGCTGGGTGAGTGCTTGAATAGTCAGTTTGAGTTAAAATGGTTCTAAATTAGAAATGCATCAAATCCAGGCTTTTAGCAATGTGTAAAAGCCTTTTATTCTTATTACATTTTTTTTTTTTTTTTTTTTTTTACAAAAAAAAAGTTTTTCCACTGGAAACTTTACTCAAATGTTCAAAATTTCACAAGCAGCAGTTGGAAAAACTTTACTTTTGCTGCTTGATGCACTGTATCAACCAATCAGAGAAGCTGATCTGGGAGTTGGCAGGGAGACAGACACAGCATTGGTGATGCAGAGAGCTGTGATCACTCGTCTGAAACGGTTTATTAATGACTAAAGCCAGCAAAATAGGTTCGCTTTAATTAGTCTGATGCCTGCAGTAAGTACCATATAGCTAAAAACATCTATTTCCAGCCGCCATGAACAGTAGGGGGAAAACCTCTAAAGAGGCAACATGGTCCGAGGCAGCAGTTGCTGGTGTTTCCCTACTGCCGGTATGTGGGGGAGGGGTCTGCACAGCCGACAGCAAAATAACATTTTAAGGCAGGATCATAATCTTGATACTCTTAAGAAGCATCTGACTTTAGTGTTTACAAGCATCAAAAATGATGCAGCAGGTGCTTTTTTGCTGCTTTATTTGAATTAACCTATGAAGCATACCTAAAATGATCTCATGTCTCTCCACCTCTAGTCAAGCGCACATACTTCCAATAATCAGGACAAAAGTAGTGTTGTAACAAAGACAAAAAGTTAGCTGCATCCCACCTCGAAATGTAGGAAATGGCGTTTCAGAGTCTAAATTTCAACTTTTTCCTGGGGAGGATACCCTAATGATGTGATACACCATGGTGTACATGGTATGAATATGGTGTATGAATTCCTAGCTAAAAGCCTGATCATGTCCGTTTCCCCTTTCAAACAGGCTGAAAAAACTGTTTAAAACTGGGAACATTCGGCTTTAAGTAGCAGTGGAAACAGATCAGTGACGCGTGTCTACCCGGGTCAAATGACTCGGTTAGTGACCCCCGTTAAAATCACCTCTGCTCTGATCGGCATGCAGTGGGAACACCGGACATGGGTTGACCTGCTAAATTACGTGACTCCATTGAACGCAACGTATGGACGTCAACACCCTGCGCCAGTCACGTCTGATCTAACAAGCCAAAACAACAGTTTACCTTGAACAAACATGGCGCAGCTCTGGTGAGAGGGATTCGGATGGATACAAGAGCGAAACAATGCAGCACATTTACTACGCACTGACACCCTTAAACGTTGATCTCCCTTTTTTTCATGTCGCCAGACGCGCAGCTGCAGGGGGACAGAGGCCACGAAGCTTACCAGTGAGGGGTTAGACACGGCCTATTTTTGCCAGTGGGAAGGGCGCCAAATACTGATCGTTAGCGAGTCGACCTATGTTTGAAAAACATGCGTTAACGCAGCATTTCTAATTGATAGGGAGCTTTACCTCATGATGGATTGATTGCTGAGGCCAACTAATCATCTTGTCTTTGCTCAGGTTTGGTGCCTTCAGCTGTGCTGGTTGTTGCCAAAAAGGGAGAAGGATCTGCTCTGTGAACCTACCTCACCACGACGTTGACACCAGAACCGCCTGAAACAGATCGATCCGGGAACCAAACTGCTATCTGCTAGTATCACCCAGTTTGCTGAGCTAATGCAGAGACGAGGTGAAGCTGCATTCAGACATGTGTGAGCTCGTCAGATACTGATGTGGGTTTGGTTTGTAAAACTGACTGAATGCAGCTTCAGTTCTGCAGCAGGACCTGTTAGACTGCTTTAGGCATTGCACTGGACCTTGAACTCAGCTGATCGAGCTGAAGATAGCTGGCTTCTGGCTGGTACTTCTTCGAGGATCTCTGGTTTCCTTAAGATGAAAAAAGATATATATATACACACAGAAAAAGTCCTTCAGTTTTAACTCGCCCCTTGAACTGCTAAGTGGTTCTGAAAGGGCCTTAAGTTTAATTCCTGTAATCTTCCCGTTTTTGTGCCATTTACTTTGACCTTTTTTTTAACAAGTTCAGATTTGCTGAAAGCCGTGTTCACAAGAAAACGGACAATAAAGCTGGCTGGGAAAACTGAATTGATTCTTTGTGTTCTATTAATATCCTGAACATTTTGAAATCTGATTAGTTATTAGTTGAAAATGATCTTATTCAAGGTTTGTCTTCCTAAGAGTATGCCATGTGGACCTGTTCTATCTTAGTTTGCTGTGTAATCTGGAAGTTAATGAATATAAAAAAACAAATACGAAACTTTTGTGATTCCCATAAAGGGTAGTCCCCAAATAAATAACAGGCTCCACTGATGAACACCTACAATTAGAAGAAAATTGTCCTGTTTTGAGTATTAACATGCTTTTGTGATGCATTTCATAAAAATCAAAAAATAAAACTTTAAATTGCGGTTTCCTGGAAACATCAACCAAGTTTTAACTTTCTATGAAAAGTCAAATTAAGAGCAATGTGGAATCAAAATGTTCCCACTTGACCTGATGGAATCTGCCCTGAGATTTTATTACTAATGGGAAGCCATTCGTATCATTACCGGTTTGCTTATTTAAGACGTATGAGTGGGGGAATGGATTTTTTTCCACACAAAAAAACAAAACAAACCAAGCCCTTATCAAAACTCACTGGCTTCGACTTTAAATGCATCACTGAATGACTTTGCTTTTTGACTTCAACTGTCCTGCAACGGCTAGAACACGGTTAGCATTTATTTAGCCAATTATTTCTGCAGATGAGATGACTCACTACACCCCCTTGTGGTGCTTCTAATCACAAACTACTCAGCCTCACAAAGAGATTATTCAGAGGGATGCTATATTCTGGAAATTGATCGACTAAAAATATCAGAGGTGCCTTTTATGTGAGATAATGCTGCATTATTCATCAACATGGATTCATTTCAAAGCATTTTGTATGAGGAGCTCTTGGTGACTCTGAAGTAACATGGACACAATCATGGCTGGAATGATCAGACCACCCTTTGATTCTTCGGTTTCTGGTCCTAAAGGTATTTTACCAGAAGAATACAATCAACACAGACAAAAAAGTAAAAAAAAAAATTAAAAAAAGCAAAGAGAAATATTTTTGTGAAGGACCGTAAGCTGAAGATGATCCTTAAATTCAGTTTGGAAACCATCTGGATGAATAAATTAGGTCATCTGGAGAAAAATAAGCACCACCTGTTACTACAGTTGCTACAAAACTCTCCTCTGCTTTCGTAAACATTAATGAAACAACCAAACAGACTCTAGTATTTAACATTTAAACTGGGAACAATCCACTGCATTGGCTTGGCTACATTAGAAGCTGGACTACCTTCATGCAACAGTTGTCCACCGGTAAGTTTGTTCACATGGAGTTGAACAGAATAAACTATCTAAAAGATTCAAGATGTGACTGTAAAACACCTTTTTTGTACATTAAAAAAACAGACTCCAGAATGGTAAAAATGTCATTCATACAAAGCAGAGTTGGAGAAAACATGAGCACATGGGTCAATGTGGTAACAAATATGAAAATTTTAATTAAAATCGAGTGACTATACAACTAATGGTTGCCATGGTTTCCCTTTCCCACCTTCTCCTCCTCATTAGAGACAGCATTAGATGAGTTGTTTTTTCCTCCACCGACCCTGAGCTGAAGACACACAGAGAGATGCTGGGAAAGTCTGAGTTCAAGTCTGTCTTTCAGAAGCATCCAGCTGTTTCCAGAGACGCAATAGTTTGGTTTAACTTGGCGGATAGTAGGTCTGGTTGTAGTTCCAGTTGTTCTGGTAGCCATAGCTGCCGTAGTTGCTATAGTTACCGTAGCTGCCGTAGCCTGGTTGCTGAAGAGCGGAGAAAGCAAATCAATGTTAATAAAAAGGTTTTGGACATTAACATGAATTTGTTATTTCTAAAATCCAGGAAAGAGAGCTTTGATCGTTTTAATGTCCAAATTGTCACTTCCACCTGGTACCAGCTGCTGTATGCTCCATATCCGGCCTGTGCGCTGGTGTCGGTTCCCGCCACCGCCGTGCTACTGGGCACCTGGGACATGCTGGATGCCGTCTGTGCAGCTGTGGAAGAGCCGTCGTCTGTTTTGCTTATTTTCTCTGGATCCTCGTCCCTTAGGAAGCAAAACGATACAAATAAACCTTTAAATCTAAACAGCTCTGAGGTCAACGAACGAACCATCTAACTCCAGGATGTTTACATGAACACCACCTGGTTAAATACATTTACAACCCTGGTGTTTTTACCCACGTTTTAAATTAATACAAGAGTTAAAGCACTTAATTGGGATTTTACAGTAGCAGAGAAGTTGGAGAAATGTGATGCATGGCTTTAAAAGACAAAAAGCTGAAAAGCATGAAGTTCATGTGCAGATTTAGCCTTACGAAGTCGGTACCTAGCAGAAATATCTTTTGCAGCAATTAAAGCTTTAAGCGTTTGGGGGTTAGGTCCCAGCACCAAGATTAATGCATCAATCATTATGAGAACTTTAACTGATGTTTTGCGATCCAAACATTGTTTTCATTATTAGAGAGGGGAAGTGTTTCCACTTTTGTTTCAATGAAGACAAAAAAAATGTTTCATTTGAGTTACTTTTAAATTGAAGGCTGCATTTTTCACTGTGTTAATTTTATTTGCGTTGTTGGGGATTTGAACCATAAACACTTAGTCATGGCCTGAGAGCTTTACGCCTCTAACGGATATCACTATGAAAAGACCAGAATATTCCAATAAACCTTGATGTCCAGCCCATTTTAAACATCAATGTAAAAGTTTTGCTCTAAATAACTAAAGAACTAGATCTGGGCCATTTCAACACATAAATATGCTCTGATCTAAAGCAGTTAATTTACGGCGATATGTTGATATTTATTCCAATGGAAGGTAAAGATTCATCAAAGTCTCAACACAGGGTAATGTACAGCATTCACCTTCTATCAGTTTTTCATGAAACTATCAATTTTTCGGGACATCTTATATAATCTTAATACAAAATGTGAAAAGCATCAAGAGGAGAAACTTTTTAAGCCTTTTAACAACTGTTAGAAGTGTCGGACTGCAAGTAGCAAACTTAAAGTAAATTCTTTATTGAAGAGCTTTGTTTTTTCATAATATGTGAAAGACTTTAAAAGTAGTAGGGCTGCACAGATTACAGATTTCTGGCCGATCACAGATTCCCGATCTTTAAAAAGCCTGACCTTCCGATTCCCATTTTGACCGACAGTCTGTGGCTTTATAACTGACAGTCTGTGGTTATATAAGATCAAAAGACACCTTCAATATTTCAATCTTATCCAACTATTGCCCTGTGATTGACTGGTGAGCTGTGTAGAGTTTACCCGCCCGTAGATAGCTGGAGATAGGTACCAGCACCCCTTGCGACCCCGCTTGGGATAAGCATGAAGAAAAATGGATGTATGGCTCAGATTGGTAGAAAAGGTTGGCTTTGCAGAAGAACATTTTCAAACTGGTTTCCTTTTCTCCTACACCGTTTACATGCTGATCGCTGCTGCACTTTATAATGGAAATGTTAATTTCACTGTTGTAAGCTGTAAGCAATGTAATGTCGTTTGTTGAAAACGACATTTGTCTAAGTCTGAAGTGTGGCCATAATTTGATGTTAGTTTTTTTTGCCTCCTCTCTCACCTGTTCTCTGCCTCCCTCTTTGTTCCTCCCAGCTCATCCAGCAGCTTCTGATGCGCGTCATAGACGGACAGCACGCTGCAGAGGAAGCAGAGTTCCATGTTTAGCAGGAACTCCTTTAGCAGAACCGTTCTGGATGATCAGAATCTGCAAACAAATCTACAAGGTTTAACCTCTGAACAGAGTTGCTGTACTCCTCTGTGAACTGCAGGCCTCTCTGTGACAGAAGCAACTTGGTTTGTGAGGTGAGAGGAGCCTCCAGGGCTCGAGTCACACACTCGTTCACCGCCTCGGCTGAAGCCCAGGGGTCCCCAGACAACTCCAGGTCCAACAGGTTCAAGTGTAGCTTTTCATTATCCTGATGGGGAATTAATTCAAAGAGAAATGGAAACAGATTTGATTTAAAAAAAACAAAAAACAAAAAAACAACAACCAAAAAACAAGTTAATCTAAAGTTTGGTTAAAATAATCCCAGTTTGGGTATAACAAAAATATAAACCCATACTAGTGCAGTTTAGCTACATCAACTGCAAGGCACAGTTTTCTGCCCAATTCCATCTCTAATCTCACCGGGCTTATTTCCAGGGCTTCCTGTAAAACCTTGCGGGCGCCGTCAGAGTTTCGGACCACTTTAAGCAGCAGACGGGCCAGTTTGATGGAGTAGAAAGCGTGCAGCGTCGGCCTCTCTTTGGATTCAGCCACTGCCTCTCGCAGCAGAGCCTCCGACTGCTCCAGCTGCCCTGCTCGTCGTTCTAAAGCTGCCCTGCGGATCCGCACAACAGCCAGACCAGGAACTGATTTCTCCAGGGCCTCCAGTATGCGCCGGGCCTCGGTTAGATTACCTGGTGGAGACAGACATGCAGTTCCAGTGAGGTGAAACCAAACCTTTAAAACTAATGCTACATTCAGTCTGCAATCGCTGGAAGCAGCAAAAACGCTTCTGCTGCTTCATTTGTTATGCTTGTTCACATGAAGGTCAGACGTGCGTCAAGAGCATCCAGTAAAGTGTCCAGATGCGCCCGATGCTTCTTCTGCTCCTGTGTTCGATGTCAGAGAGCGGCTTTGCTATATTTGCTGTTATAAGTGGGTAACAAGTAGTTTTAATGTTTTTAAGTGAGAAAGTCGACCTTAAAACTGTGTAGTCAGTTTATCAAGATTACGATCCTGCCTTCATATATTATTTCGCTGTCGCAAGGCGGAGCTCTGTCCCTGGAGGCTTGAAGGTGATTTATTATGAATGTGGCTCTGCAGAATAATAAAATCGAACATATTTTGCAGGCAGGTTTCAACATTTTACGTTAATTAAGGCGTTAGTGAACTGTTTTAGGGGAGTGATCATAGCAATCTGTATCAGCAGTGCTGTGTCTGTCTCCCTGCCAGCTCCCAGATCAGCTTCTCTGATTGGTTGATGAGTAGCAAAAGTTTAATTTTTCCTACTCCAGCAGCTGTTGCTTCTGAAGCACGTCAGATGCTCAGAAGCGCTGCTCCTGCTGCTCAAAACGCACTGCAGGACCTTTTGCTGCGCCTTGATGTGCGTCAACCATTGGCTTTGCATGTAAACTAGCTGCTTCTGCAGCCTCTAGCTAGCGTATGCAGGCTGAATGTAGCATTAAACTAAAGAGGGAGAGAAAAAAACAAAACAGAAAAGCATCAGCCGTACCATGCCTCTCCTCAAAGGTGGCCCACTGCATATGGATATTAGGTTTGTTAGGGAGGTGGACCTCACAGGCTCGCCTGTAGACGGCCCGTGCCTCGTCCACACTCTGCGGCTCCAGGTACTGAATGTACTACAACACAGTGTGAGTGTTACATGTTATAAGAGGAGCCTCAGAGGTAAAGGAAAGTAAAGATCAGTGAAGCATCTCACCCTGGTCCAGAACTCCTCATACAGCGCGCATGCGATCAGGCAGCGCTCAAACAGAATGCGGACTCTGAGGTCACCCTGCAAGGCTGTAGCAGAATCATCTGATGCTTCCGGACGCTGGGTTGGAACCTCAGATTCCTCTGTTGATTCCTGGTTAGGGTCTGATAGAGGGAAGCAGTATTAAACATGCAGGTGATTTAAAAGAAAATGTGTATATATATCTATATATATAAAAATAAAATCTTTACCATGCGTGTTGTCGCCTTGTGCGGGGTCTCTGGTGTCCCTGTTTAGCTCAGCGATCTCCCAGTCCAAGTAGGTGTGCCAAGCTCGGAGCTGGACGCGGTCCAGTGGCCTGACGTGGAAATAAGGACGCTTGATCTGTTGTGATAGGATGAGGAAGGAAGAAAAACTTAGGCATCATTATGTGGAAGCAGGCAGGAGTTCATTCACACAAAGACGGCAGATGAGGAGATAAAAACAGGGAGAGGATCTGAGAAAGAACCCGGCAGAAACTCACAGCATCTTCATAGTTCCATCTCTTCCGGACCTCTTCCTCATTGTCTTGGTAAACTTTGTCCCTTCGGAGCAGCACCTGCTCCCTTATCTTTTGAATCAGCTCCTCCTGAACGCAGAGCAAAGGAAGAGGTCATTTTATACCGTTACGTATTAAATCTCTCACTGGTGCGAAAACATTTAAGTGCCAGTAGGAAACGTCCATCTAATCATGAAGTTTAGGCTCTCTTTGACTTTTTAAGACTTTCAATCAGAGAGAAAAACTTCCTCCCAATAGTCATCATGAATGCTAGTTATTACTAGCTAATATATTCTTAACAATAAACCATCAATTTAACTTTTTAATAAAATCAGTGTTTAGACCTTAAATAAAGGAGGAAGATCCAATAATTAGGAAGCTAATTAAGGCTTCCTTCTAGTCAGAAAGTTGGTCGATAACTCTGTAGCACTCACAGAGTCTGCGCCATCAGGTGTAGAGGGCTCTTCCTCTCCTGGCGGCCTTTCCTCCTCCTCCTCCTGAGACTGTTCAGCCCGCTCTGCCTTCTGGCTCTGCCGGCAGAGCGTCCTCAGCTCCTCGTACTCGTCAGAGGAGAGCACGTCTTTAGGCGGGTGGCTGTTCAGGTGCTCTTTGAACCTGACGGGACAGAGGATGGGCGACAGGATGAGGAGAATTACTGAGAAAACAAAAGAAGAGGCACTTATGAACGACAGAAACGAGACACTCCGAAAAATGAGCTGCATCTTCTAAGGTTCCTGTCATAAGTCGTCAATAATTGTCAAAGCAGACGTAGCTTCACGCTGTGTTTGGGGGAGAGAAGAAGCGGTCAAACTGGGATTTCCTCATTTAAAACAAAGATCAACTGAATTACAGTTGACATTTTAAACAAATTTGATCACTTTTTATATAAATTGAACATCAACATTAAGAATTAAGCCATTCTGGTTGTTTTTTTTTTTCTTCTCCAGACTAGCCCGTCACCCATCTGGGCTGACTTAGCTCAATATAAACTAATTCCAGTCACCAGTTAATTTTTATCAAGTAAATCAAAAAGTTGAAATACAAGTTGAATTTAGGGCTGTTAAAAAAGAAAAATCAATTCTGAATCAATTCCTAAAGATCGATTCATATAACAAAAGATTGTTTTCCACTTTTCTTACAGCTCCCATTAACTACCCTCTCTTAAACAATTTGCTGCTAAATGTTAATACTGGTATAAGTGGTTTAATATAGCTAACAGTTAATAACAGGTAAAAGCATGAATGCTTTTAATATCAGTAATTCAATTTGATCAGACCAGATTCAATCAAAAGCAACAAACTCTTAATCTATGGAATCAGGAATCGTATCGGTTCTTGTCATGTGATCCGATATCTAACCCCAGTTTATTGTGAGCTTCTACATGTCGCCCTTAAAGACACGTCTGCAGCAGTATTTGCTCCAAAGTCCTCAGATGGTCTCACATTTCGTAGTGTGTGTTGTAGCGCTGAGTAGGAACTCTGAGGACTCTGTCCATGACGGCCGTGGCGTTCCTCAGGTTTCCGTGCTCTTTTTCCCACTCCATGTAGAGAACCCACAGACGATCTGAATGGAAATCCAAACCGCACGCAGCAACGGCGTTCTCGAACACACTGAAAATGTTAATCCAAACAAAAACAATTTTATCATGTTATTACCTTAACTTTTTCTGTGTTATTTATTCATTTTCTGCTCTCATGGTTTCTAGTTACAATTTCAAACATTTCCGATTTAAAATTCCAGAAGTGTCCTAATGTTAAACTTTGACTTCCTGAATATTATCCTGCACTATTATCCACAGTTTTCACATATCAAACATCGATAGAAATAGCTTCTAATTGGGTGATTACCATTTGGACTCAAATGATCAACTAATTTTTAAAATCTTGTAGACCAAAATCTAGAACTGTTGGACTTGTTAGTCTGTCTGGATTTTTTTTTCAGTTTCTTTAGAACATCCTTTGTTAAGATTTGCAGGATAGATAAAAAATATTTGTGTTAAATTTGATGTTTTAATCCTTTGTTCTCTAACCAGACTTAGATCAAGAGAGAGACTGGTCCAGTTTGACTAAATTTAGACATCAACAGGATGCAAACATTGGAAGCACAGCCCTTAGCAAAAAAGTATAAAACAAAAGGAGCACTTAGTTTAATATTCAAACACAAAACTGAAATACTGCTGGAAAAGATGTTAGAAGATTACAAAAGCAGAGCGGGTCATTTTAACAGAAACACTACTCTCAAATACATTTATTATATATGGTAAACTTATTAGACCCTTTACAAAATGAAAAAATGAAATGTGTGTGAAATACAGAATAGAATAAACTTCTTTCTAAAACATTTTTTAAAATGTTTTCTGTATCTGAAAACTGTAATTTTCATTCATTTAAAATTACAGTTTTCAGATACAGAAAACATTTTTTTTAGCAGCTCACATGTTTAATTACCTACAAATACAAAATTTTTTTATTGTATTCCAAAAGAAATTCAATAAAATTTGGAGCAAAAACTAAACGTTTCCCCTAACTTTTGGGAATGATGTGTAGAAAAGAACCTCACATTCAAAATGTGACTGGAAATCTAATTACCTGCGAATCCGTACAGCTGAGTCAGGCAGGTTCATGTCTAATGTTCCCAGCAATAGATTGATGTAGTGGATCCAAAGATCTACACTCAAAGGAATAACTTGAAGTCCACGAATACACACCTGACACAGCACAAGTGAAAAAAACACACACACAAAAAAAACAAACCAAACATCAGTTTACACAGCAATTGTTAAAAAAAAAAAGTACAGCTTTATGGCCTTTAAATTGAACCTCTTCTGCTTTGTTGTTGTCCGCTGCACGGCGCTCCAAGTCTGTAAATTTCTTCCAGTAGCCGTAGCAGAGTGGATACCGAACGAGGAAGGCCTCCAGTGCTCTACGGTACGCTACAACATGACCCTAATAGAAAAAGAGAGAGGATAAGTCCCGCTCTGAGTCTTTACAGAGACAGGAAACGTAGAAAAACAGCTGGAAACCCACACCTCCTGCTCAGAGTACTGGAGCAGATCGGTCCAGCTGGTGAAGTCTTGAGGATTGTCATGCGCAGCTTTCCACAGACGCTCAAAGTCTGCAGGTAGTTCGCCTTCCTTATTTGTTGCTGTTGGAGCTGTGGAGCAGTTTTCAGGGGTTGCAGAAGCCTCAGGGGCATCAGTCGAGCCGCCATTCTCTTCTGAGACTTCAGGAGGAGGAGGCGGCGGCGGTGGGGGCAGTGGTGGAGCCACCTCAGTGACATCCATAGCTTTAAAGAAGAGAACAAGAGTAGACACTTTATGCACAATTCTTTTTTTTTTTTATTCATCAGGTTTTTTTTTTCTATTTATCAGTTTTTGACCTTTAAATTCAATATTACCATACATGCAGAATATATTATACAGCTATATTTGGTTTTTTTTTTTTATAGAAGATATAAGTTTTTAAAAATAAAACTTGTTATGAAAACAAACCTTCTTGGATTATAACTTGTATTTTAATATTAAAAATTGAGAATCTGAGTTTCATTGTCCTGTAATGAGGGACAATTTTGGAAAGAAAAACAGCTGCAGTTATTATTCTGAGAATGAACCGATGAGTTTAACAACCTGATGTAAAAAAATAAAAAGTTAAGCTCTAAACAAAGAAATATACATATGTTTGCAGAGCATCCACTTTATAAATGTTCACATATAACAGCAACATCTCATTTCACAGGTATCATCCAGCTCTGCTGCTCTGTGTTGCTTTGTAGCTTAGCCTAGCTCGTCGTGCCTTCCCCTTTTAAAATAAAATACAATGAAAAATTTATTCAAAAAACTTGCGGATAAAGTTAAAGACGTATCTGAAAAGCCGGGGGCTGATTTAGTGTGAAAATTCATAAACGACTCTACCTGAAGTCTCCTCAGGCATCCCGTTACCGCTCATCTCATCGCAGCCCTCCGCCGCCATGATGGAAGAACCACTGACGTCATTAGCATGCGACAAAAAAACCTAAACGTCAAACTGATTGCTGTGCCATTAATTGATTTTAGTTTAATTTCCACATAGCAACGTTTTACTTGCATTTAATACATTTTAATTAGATTTTTTTCAAAATATTTCCTTGCATATGTTCATTAAATTTTCTTTCTTCTGATTGGTTAATTTTTGAGTCCAGTATGGCAATCAGCATTCATGTGCTCTGGTTTCCGGTTTTTATGGAAATAAACGTTTTTAAAAATGTTAGTTTTTTCATGATTTGGTTTGTTCCAAATATTTTATATACATTTATTTTGGCATCTGAACAAACTTGAACTAGCTCTTTTACTAAATCAATTTACTATTATACACCAGATAACACCTGAAGCATCCTTCAAAAAGTTCTTCTCTAAACCACACAGCTCATTTAATTTTAATTTAATAAATTTAATAATTTTATTTCATTTAATACCTTATTTCATCTCCAAAAACTGATATCACTTTTCCTGAGCTCTTAGGCATTTCAATTTACTATAGTTACTTTAAAGACCACAAGTTTAGCTTTCAAGTTGATAAAAGTTGAAGATGTAAAATGTTGTTTTTCACTCGTCTTCAGTTGGTCATTCAAAACCTTACTGCTATAGGATACTTTTTTTTTTATTGAATCTTAATAAAATAACCCAGAAAATGATTTAAATTTAAAATTACACAGTATTCAATTATGTAAAGCCTTTTAGTTCTTCAATAACATTGGGCTTGGCATTTTTTTTGCAACATAAAAATAATTGCAGTAAAATAAAAGCCAATGTCTGAGTGTTTCAGAAACAGATTAGTCCTAGTTCCTGTAAATAAATTACAGTTTAACCCAAACTAGAAGAAATCAGACAGGTTCTTTTTTCACAATTGGTCAACTTTATTATCTCTTGGTCTCCATTAGAGCACATCAGACAACTTTGACAGCTCAAGTGCAATTCTTCACTTCCATTTTTAAAAATTGAGAGAAAAAAAAAGACAAAAAAGGATGCGGCAGAAACATGAATGCCCCTGAAAGCAACCAGAGTAGCAGAACCTTTCCTCTGCAGGTCAGATGATTTGACTTGATGGCAGATCGATGTATGATTTTGGACAGATGTTTCTGTAAATCAGATGGCTCCAAGTGGACAACTGTAAGCAGTCTTCAATGATTTCAGCTGATCCAATCATAAAAACCCAAATCACAAGATTTCAACTAATACCTAGGAAACACATAAAAATCTAACTATTTTATAAGAGCTTACCCTTCCTCCAGTGCAATATAAAAAGTCTCAAAAGAAAAAACATCAGTTGAATGATGGATTTCCAGTTCAAAACTCCTTAGTGGGAAAGAAAATTAGGTTAAACGGAAGCAATGAGAAGAGTTTCCATTCAACGCTGAGAAACAACAGGCTGGATGAAAATGAGCTGCTGAAGATAAAGGCATCTTTGTGGAGTTAGAAACAGTCGGAAAAAAACAGGGATAAAAGGAAACTTGTTAATCTGTCCCTCCATAGTTTAATCAGCACAAGGAAAGAAGGCTGAGCTCTTATCTGATCTGAGGACTGTCTAAAGAAGGAATGATATTTCTTTAAATCAGCAGCAGGTGGAGTGTGTGTGAGGCAAATAGTTTACCTTCATTATTAAAAAAAAAACTCAAACTCTATGACGGCTTACAGTGATGCATTTATCTGAGGCAGACTGTGTGCTAAACCAAGATTTAACAGCAAAATAAAGGCCAGAAGTTTTGCTAAAGTGTTCCAACTAGACCCACTCTGGTGTTTCTTCCATTAAAAATGTGTCAAACATTGATCTATCTAGTAGTAAATAATAATCATTATCGGCAGGTCTCACAGTGTGCCTGAACACAAAAGGAAGATGGCAGACGTTGGTGTCTTAGATCACCAAACCGTCTTAATGTGGATGGAAACTGTAATCAGTGTGTTTCTGCAGTTACTGTTGTCCTCTAGTTAGTTTGGAGGGTTTAAGGGATTCTGTCTATTCCCTCCCATCAGTTGTTTTCCATCTCTAAGGTTACTGAAGGGTCACGGTCCAGTCTGCCCCCACGTTCATGCCAGGCTTTCGGATTGTCAACACAGACATGGAGGCGTCGAAATCGAACTCCAGCTGATTCTCCTGGTCATCTGCAAAGTAAGAGAAACAAAGGTATGAATACTGATCATCTGCAAACTGTAAGATTCAGATTCTTTTTAATCGAGATTCTCCTTAAACCACAGGAGCTCATTCACGTCCCTCTTAGCGCCCTCACATTTTTTCAGTTACTCTCCAGGATAGGCTATATGCAGCTCCCATCCAAACCCACTTCTTATTTCAACACTTCACATAACTACATGCTCATAATCCAGCATTTCTCCACCTGTAGTCAATAGAGATTATGGCTTTGATTGTATGGATAAAGTGTTATTAAAAACCTTTATTTTATTTTCTGCATCTAAGCTCAACATGAGTGTAGAAGAAAGGACTGGGATTACATTTAAGATTTTTAATATAAAGAGAAAGGCAGGTTGTGACATCTTCAATATTCATTGTGTTCATCAGATATTGGTTTGACACAAAAGAATACTGCTTTATATCGTCTTTATATCATGAATTTTCAGCTGGACACCAGACTATGTGGCGTAAGCCTCTTAACTGCTGTAACCCAATGAGAACTGACCAGCAAATTACTTCATCTGCACCGAAAAAAAACAAAAACAGTATTCTGTGACAGGTTAAAAAGTTTCATCAGCTGATTTATTTTAGGGTTTAGTCCTAAAAAAAAAAAAAAAACGCCACAATCTTCCACTAACTGCCAACTACTTTGAACCATCATTATTAGTCTAATTTAAGCATCTACTCTTCTACACAACTATAAAGGCTTTAGTTTAACCAAACTCTACATCTGTTCAGTAAAAAGGAGCATCAATAACTTACCAGAAGTTCTAAGAGTGATCTTGCTGGGTTTGCTGGCACCCAGTATAATAATGCGTTCCACCCAAGACTTGGTTGTAAACTGGGCATCTGGTTCAAGGTTACTGTGGAGCAGACGGAAGAAGAAATTCATCTTTTAGAGTTTTTAGGTGAAAGCTCCAGTGAAACATGGACTTCGTTGCCTGATTTAGGTTTTATTTTTATTATGGAGTGAAGAGGTATTAAACGCACACAGAGGACAGGACATTGTTGGTGAAGGAAAACTTCCGGAGGATAAACTCCCTCTTTTCAAAGTTAAAGGTGTGGCCATCGTCTATGTACAGCTCTCCTTCTGCAGTTCTCTGTCAAAACATCACAAGATAAATGAGGACAATCCAGCATTCATTGCAATATGGAAGAAGGGACTCGGCAGAATTAGCCAGCTGTAATTAAGATGGTTTAAAGTCTATTTACCCTATTATCAAGAGCCACATAGAGAGTGTACGGGTCATCCTCCATACAGGCGGAGGACCTGCGAACTCGAAGCTTCCTGGGAATGATGGAGCCGCCGCGCTGGAACACTGGGATCTAAAATGAAAGAAGAAAAGGAGGATCCAATCAAGGTCTAGTAACAAAGCAGTTTAAAAATGATCTAAAAGCATGAGAAACTAGACATTATACTGGTTTGTTTAGGTTTTTGTCTTACGGAGCTCATGGTGACAGGGATGTAAAGGTTTTGCACCCCGTTGTGCTTCTGGAAGGTGTGGATGTCGAACCAGACCTGAGGACAAATACAGATTAAAAACAACCGTAATCTAACTTCAAGACAAATACAAGGTGTTCAGAAGCGAGTATGTTACCTCATCTTTCCCAGGCAGGTAAGCAGTGACTCCTCTGGCTCCCTCTTCAGTTACTGGGTGCACCAACAGGTCTCGGCCTGCAGCAGAATGAGCCAGAAAAAAAAGGAGGAAATAAATCAGTTTCACATAAGGACAGATTAAAACAAGCAATTTTGTTTTTACTTTAGCCTGTTTTCTAATAGAGTAGTTGATCCCATCATTCTAGAGATGTGTGATAAACACATTCAAAACAAGCTTTAGACATGTCATTTGACTGGTAGCAAAACCATTTCTAAACCTGCACCATCTACATAATAAGCCAAAAGGTGGGAGCAGAAACCAGTCACATACACATCTTCTAAATGGGAAGAAAAACAAGTGGAACTGACAAAACTCTGCATATTAATTATAGAGAATCAGCATTTTGTTTCTCACCAAGCAGAAACTCATCATCCAAAGCAAAAGTAGCAGGGTCCTGGGGATACTCCACCCAAAGTGGTCTGCAACAGAAAAGGAGAGTTACCTGAAATACCATTATTTTCTGTGGACTGGGAGAAACATCTGGAATTTGAGAACTTTCTAAAGTTTAAAAATATTGTTCATGTTAGAAAAAATGCTAAACTTAAGACCCAATCCCAATACGATCCACTTGCTGGGGAAGGGCCAGAGACAATTTCACAGAAAAGATGGGAGGACAGGGATTCTATGGAGCAACTTCCATTTTTTTGTGTGTTTTTTCCTTTTTAACTTTTGAAACCAAAAAAAGCAGTTGGCGTCTGCTTTCTGGGTTCACCCGATTCTCCTGGACAATGGAACTTAGGTGAGATTGTGTTTTTGGTGCTCAGACAGAAGCAGCAGGAAACGTCGAGGGAGAGTGTACCGGAACCGAAAGAGGCTGCCAGCCGTTCCCATCTAAGGAAGCAGAGAGGGAGATCAGAGGAACCTGCTGGGGAAACAGTGCTCCAGAGGGGGGGGGCGAAGACAGCGCCTGCCTCTAACTCAGGAGGAGAGCGGGGAAGCACAACTGTGGATCGGAGAAGCCCAATTTACAGCTGACAGGAATTAGAAATAGACCAGCAGAAGATCAGAAAAGTAGACAGAATGCTGAAGGCGAGGTAGAGGGGCTACAGCTGGCCGGGAGTAGGACAGCAGAACATCAGAGAAGCCCGCCAAGGAGACTGTGCTAGGAGAGGCTACAGCTGGCAGGAGCTAGAACCTAGGCTAACTGTGGAAGTGCAGTGGAGGACCAGAGCAGCGTACTGTGCAGACAGCCCCTTAGCGAGGAAGAGAAGAGTCATCAGCTGTCAGTGTCTGTGCTGGAGGTAGGAGACGAAACAGACCTTCTAGGAATAACTTAAAACGTCTTTTTAAAAGCGACCTACAAAATGCATTCCCCGCTTCAATCTTTAACATTTTCTCCATCTTCCATGTTGATTAAAAAAAAAAAAAATAAAAAAAAAAAATCATGACACTGTTATGTCCTACAGTTTTGTAATCATTTATCACTGTCAGCTAGGTTTAATAATCACTTAAAAAATAATTACACCTGATCGTGGAAAAGGCTAGAGCTCAATTAATCCCCTTTTATAATTTAAGGTTCAATGGTTTACAAAAAATGTTTTAAAAAAGCTTTGTTCTCCTCTCTTATGCTGGCACATATCTTATGTATGTGCATATGTAAATATGCAGTCGTTTTAGAACCTGAACTTCAACTATGCAGGGAGTGGTGTCCCAATTCCTAGGGAAGATTATGAAGCCCTTACTGTTACGGCTTCAATTCCACGCTGTGTTGGTAGTGGGTGAGGGCTAGTGGTAGTGAATAAGGGCTAGTTGTTGAAAACAGGGTGTATTGGGATTGGGCCCAAATCTTACATTGCTCAAGTTGATTGCTTTGATGTTTTTAATAATAATCTGTGTTGGTTAAAGCAGTCAGCCATTACTACCGAGATAAAAACCTTTAATACAAAGATAGAGGGAGGAAGCTGTGTACCCTCCTGGTTCTCACCTCATGACGGGCTCTCCAGTTTGATAAGCATGATAGAAGAGCTGGTACCAGTAAGGCAAAAATGTGTAGCGCTGGCGCACAGCTTCGCGGATCAGAGCCGTGTTTTCTGGGCCGAACAGCCAGGGCTCACGGCGAGGCGTGTCCAGGTGGGCATGGGCCCTGAAAAACGGCTGGTAAGCCCCCGTCTGGTACCAACGCACCAGCAGCTCAGAACTTGGAGACTTAAAGAAACCACCAACGTCAGCTGTGAAACAGAGAAAAGGATTGATTCATTCACACAAACCCAGTGCTTTTTTAAAATGTTTTTTTGTTAAATCAAGTCTGAACAGCAGGGAAGCAAATTACAAAAACAAAACATTCAAGCAAACATGACTAAAAATGAACTGCAGCTACATTACCAGGGGGACATTCACTATGGCAACAGCACAGTCCTGTTTCCATAGGAACATGAACACTGCAGGGTGATCTGTATTCCTTATTCTTCTCATCCAAGCAGCAAGGTTGAATTCACCTGCTTTGTTGCCTCATTTATTTAAATATTAAGTATTCAGACACTAAGTTAAAGACAAATTGAGACCAAAGAGACCAGTTTTACTTTATATAAACCACACCTGAACCATATTCACAAGAAAAGGGAGGATTTAAAACCATTATGCATCTCTTTTAAGTTAAATATAATCTTATTGGCCTAAACTTTTTGTTTTTCAGTCATAGGTCACTCAATGTCCATCTCTGCATTTTGTTGCATCTGCAGTTATTTAATGGCGGATAAGGTGTAAGGCAAGGACAAAATAAATCAATAACAGGAGCATCAGTTGCAACGGTGGCCTTTGATGGAGGTTTGACAACAGCAGCTGTAGAGGAGCCTATAGCTGCGTTTCCATTAACCATGATATGCAAACACAGCAATCACACTTCACTGAGGTGGTTTTTCAATCCTATCGATATTGCAAAATTTCACAAAAATGCTACAGAAAATGGACCTTTCTGCCTTGTAAAAGAATGAAGACCGGAAGTAGTTGGAGAATGGTGGCGCCCTCTAGAGATATGGCTGAAAAATTTATACATCTCATGGGTTTACATCCGCTGCTGCCATGTTGGTTTCAGAGTTATCACCTGAACAATTATTTGTTATTTAGTAGAAAAATGGCGATTGCAAGACTTTGCATTTTTGAATTTAGCAGAGTATGGATGTAGTTTTAAACATTATTATTGGAAAGGAGGCAGCTTAGGTGGATTAGTAGTGGGAGTCAGGAACATGTTGAACAACATATCACTCAGGCCATTTGGACAGCAAAGAAGAAGTCGGTTCTTGTTCCCATTTGGGTAATAGTGGCATATTTGGGTCACATTTGCTTGCTATGTGAATGTAGGTTCAGAACTCCAAACAGAACCTTGACCTGAAGCAAAAATCTCTTATCAGCGGCTATTCCAGAACGGTGCAAACACGGCATTCAAAGTACTCAGAAATGGCAAGTTAAGAGTAATGTTATCTCCAAGGTGATATGTCTTTAGTTCGTTTGTAATCTGTATGGAAAGTTCAATCTGGAATTTTCCTGAAGGTCAGCATCCCAAGGCAGAAAACCACAGGGATACCATCTTACTTTCTATTCAATATGGCTGCTACACACATCACATTCATAATGTAGTTTGGTGTTCCTACTTTGTTTTCAGGAGTTCTATATTTAAGTTATATAATCAGTTAGCTGTATATATACTAAATTCAAGTGCTGATCATCTACAGGGTTAAAGGACGAATGTCTCAGCAGGACCTTAAAAAACAACTCATGGATTCACCTTTAGTAAACTTAATCACAGTAATGGTGTCTTCACTGGTCTGCCTAAAATATCGAACAGATAGCTGCAATTGATCCAGAATGCTGCTGCCTGCATCCTCACTATCAAAGTGGAGCATACAACCTCAGTTTTACAATCATTACACTGGCTATCCCTCTTTCAGGAAATATATTTTAACACACTTATGTTAGTCTATAGATCTCTGTGAATTCTTGAATGAGTTGTTAGTGTATAAACCACCCAGACCTCTCAGGTGTTCTGGCTCCAACCTAAAAGCAGCTTTTAGTTCTTGTGCTACACAAATCTGGAGTAAATTCTCAGAAAATGTAAAGTGCTGAAACCCTCAGCGGCTTTAAATTAAGATTAAACATTTTATTGTGTGGCACAATGTTTACAGAGCCATGTAAACATTAGAAAGTTTTCAACTTTCATTCCATATTCTTAATTATTGTATCCGATCCTCTGATTTTAAGGTCAGTTTTATTTTCCAGCTGTTCTGTTGCCTCTATGCCACTGCAATGTACTTTGCTTTTTAAGATAAAAGCACTTTGAATTGTCTTGCAACTGGAGACTCCTCCATTATAGTTGTGACTCAAGTAGACACTTTAAGACTGTAATGTATGGGAAATTTGGACAACTGCATCTGGTCCAAAACTCACAAGATGAAGTTCAAGACCACAAAGAGGCTCGAAGAAGAAACTCACCGCCACAGAAGGAGATTCCCACCAGGCCCAGACTCAGACACATGGGGATAGAGATTTTCAGATGGTCCCACTCAGCAGCGTTGTCTCCGGTCCACACAGCACCTTCATGCACAATTCACATTTCAAAATCTTTTTGCATTTAATAGAGCTGGCTACTGTAGATAGTAGACATTCTTAACAATTTCCTAATATCTTAAGCTTCAGTTTTTTATGCAAAAAGGACGGAGGCCTCACCCAAACGCTGGGAACCGGCAAAGAAAGCCCTGGTGAGGACAAACGGTCTCTCCACCCCTCCAGACCTTTCAATCAAACCCTGTGCAGTGGCCATTTGCTGCAAGTCCAGAAAATACATCACTGAGCATCATTTACATTTTACTTACATTGTTACAGTCGTAGCAGATCAATAGTTTACTGTAGCCATTAGTGATACTCTAACACCTTTTAAAAATAACTAAATACTACAAACAGTAACTCAGGTCAAAGGACAGAGGTGTGACCTAAAGTTTTCATAGGAATCAGCTGAAACACTCACCACATAGAAGCCGTATAGGTTATGCACGTCACGGTGCTCCCAGGATCCATGCAACGCATCCTTGTGCATAGTGACTTCAGGCCCGTTGAACACAGATGGCTCATTCATGTCATTCCATGTATACAAGTTCTCCATGGAACCCTGCAGAATATTAAACAGAGACGTTGTTAAGCGAAGAGGAAACGGGGAAACAACCATAATTAACTCCTTCACTATAAATGTTTTATACCATAGAAGATGTTTCTATAAAATCTCCTGGTAGCTCACCTCATACTGATCGTAGGCGAACTGGCCGGCCCACCAGGCTCTCATGTCAGGACGGGTGAAGTCTGGATAACCAGCGCTGCCTGTTATCCACCAGCAGTACAGGGAGAGTACAAAGGAAAGGTGAGAAAAACAAAACGGGTTTTAATTACTGAAAAAGAGAAAAACAAGACAGAGCCGAAGGAGTCTTACCAGGCCAGCACCAGCCTTCATAGTCTGCGCCATCTTTATTCTTAATGTAGAAACCCCGAGAGCGAATCTCATTATGGATCTTATAGTTGGTGTCCACTTTGATGTGAGGGTCCACGATGGCAACCATCTGGAAAGCATAAATGTCTGTTTAGACATTGGTCTGATGAAGTTTGAAAGCTGCTTCAGGGAGGATTTAAAGCAGGTGGAGTTTAGGGGAGGGGCAAATCTAATCCAGCTTTGGTATCTAGTTCGGACAGCAATTTAATTAACAGATCAGAAATTTCCTATCCAAGGTGAGGACATTCTGATCCACAAATTGTCAACAACATAGTCTGCTTAAGTTACTCTGTAAGTTATTCCATGTGTGCAGCGACTTGCAACATTTGCAAAGCTGTTGTACGGAGAGGAGGTTCCACTGTTGTATTGTTCATCACAAATTGAGTTAAACATTTGAAAAAAGGACCCTGTGGGGAGCATTGGGACTTTGGCAAGTTGAGAAAAAGGAATAGCTGCTGGAGTCAATTAAAAAACAAAGTAAACTTCTAGCTGAAAACATGAAAGCAAAAAGGAACTCGCTTGACTTTATTGCTCTGGATTAGTAGTAGAAAACAAGGGATTTCATAGCCTTAATGAGCATTTTGGAGCCCAGGTATAGTTTACCGTCCAGCAGATGACTGCATCAGGACTGCACTACTGGAATTATACGACCGAGGGTCAACAAAATACGCTGATAAGTTAAAAGATGTTTCAGCTGTGATCTTTACTACATATATTTGGACTGTAGATGTCTGCCCAACGTGGCCGGTAAGTCTCAGTTCACTGGCTTGACTACGATGCTCATGGCCTCTGTAGTGCAGTACTTCAGCTGAAAAAGCATAGGGGTTCAAACAAGTCAGCTACAATCACTGCCTCCATCACAGAGACTTCAAACCTGGCAGATCCCTTTGAAAATGCATGTCATTCTACATGACAATCCAAGTAACAAGACAGGTGCTATGGACGACATTGCAGTTCCCACTCTGGCTTGTCTTCCTTGCTTTGCACAAGAGCCAGATTTTACAACACAGTGTTAGTGATGCATTAGCAAAAAAAAAGATTGTACATTTCAGGCACTCACGACAGTCTTACAAGACTTGCAACGTGAAATGCAAGGTACGACTACACCTCAACCACCTCAGCTCGTCTTAAGATGTCCAGACAAGATGGAACAGCTCCTAAATGATCAAGAGCCTTCTAATGCTGCGTTCACACCGGGGGCAGCAAAAGCAGCACAATCGCGTCTGCTGCTTCATTTTTGCTGCTTGTACCAGTGAATTCTGACGCGCGTCTGAAGCAGCTTTGCTGCTCTCGCTGCGCGGTCCAAAAGTGTGTCTGACGCGCGTTGGGCGGAGCTTCACTATCCTTTCTCTGCCTTGCAGCTATATTTGCTGTGATCAGTGGGAATAAAGTAGTTTTAATATGTTTTTAAGTGAGAAAATACACCTGAAAACTTCATCAGTGCAGTCAGTTCATCCAGATTACAATCCTGCCTCCCAATGTTATTTCTGTCGGAGCCGCTCAGACCCCCACATACCGGCGGTGCGCCGACAGAAGGAATCCCTTCATCAGCAGCCTCTGGCCGGGTCGCCTCCTTGCGGTTTACCGCGGTGGCTGGTAGGTGTTTTTCATCTAAATAATCCGATCTGCAGGCACCAGAATAATAAAAGCGAACATATTCTGCCGGCAGATGTATATATTTTAAGTTAATTATGCGTTAATAAACTGTTTAAGAGAAGTGATCAGAGCAGTCTGTGTCATCAGCGCTGTGTCTCTCTCCCAGCCAGCTCCCAGATCAGCTTCTCTGATTGGTTGACGCGGCGCGTCGAGCAGCAAAAATTAAATTTTTCCATCTCGAGCAGCAACGCGTTTGCGGCGCATCACGCGCGTCAGATGCCAAAACGCGCCCGACGCGCTGCTTCAGCTGCTCAGACGCGCTGCGCTTGCTGCTCGAAACGCGCCGCGGGACCTTTTGCTGCGCGTCAACCATTGACTTTGCATGTAAACTCGCTGCTTCTGTCGCGCCAGCTGCCCCCGGTGTGAACGCAGCATTAGAGACAAGCGACAACAACCTGCCGCCAACACTTTCAGCCAATGAGCGGAGTTTACTGGAAAAACTAGTGACTGTGCTGGAACCCTTGGAGGAGTTAATGAGGAAAATCAGTTCAGCAACATCAAGTCAGGAGCAAAGCGCTTTTCACTACATTCAGTCATTCACGCACACACTGATGAAAACAGTACAGATGCAGCATTAAAACAATAAAAAGCAAACTGCTCCAAGCCCCTGTATACTGTTGCAACTTTACAGGCGAGCAATATTCTGTGCATGCATCATATCCATCTATTTTGATCTGTGTGTGTGTGTGTGTGTGTGCTTGCAGGCCAGATTTTTGCAGCAGCAACAAATTAAGCATGATTTCAGTGTGAAAACAACAAATTTTCACACTGAATACAAACCTTTAACTCAAACCAAGAAAAAACTCCATAATGCTGCAGCTGGCTCTACGATTAAGGGATAGTTTAACTCTTTTAATTGCATCAATTGGCAGAGATCCTTCAAAAGAAGAATTTAATCATCTATAAAACCTTCAGTTTGTAAAAGTAAAAAAACATTTTAATAAATTTCAATAGTTTGAATCACGTGTTCATGTAAAAACCTCATCTAAGACAACTGTGTGTTAGAGACCAATACACAGTTAAAGCATCCTTAGACTGACCCTATATTCAGGGGTCGTATGGACTGTTTTTACTCTGAATGGCCTTCCTTACTCCTAACAACCAGGATTCGGACATTATTTGATATGAATCGCTAAATCCAGTTCTTTCCCAGAGTTGGAAAATGGTATAAACCAAATTGCAGGTTTCATATGAACTGTGGTTGGACTAATGAAACGTTTTAATTTTGGGGATGATTCACCATCTTTTAGTCTGTACCTTGCGTTTTTTGTCCATGAGACCCTGAAGCATTTCCTTTGGTGATGCAAACTTGTGAGGATCCCAGGTGAAATAGCGCTTCCCATCCGTGTGCTCAATATCCAGCCAAATGAAATCGTAGGGGATGTCATGCTCGTCGAAGCCGGCATCCACCGCACGCACGTCTTCCTGATCGTTGTAGTTCCAGCGGCACTGGTGGTAGCCGAGTGAGGCCAAAGGAGGGAAGGCCTGAGTGCCTGAGGGAAGAGTAAAGGAGAAGCTCAGAAGGATTGGATCAAAGTGATCAAACAGGATCATTTTCATCACTTTCAGATGGAAAAAAAAAAAATGAACCAGTTTCAATAAGTTGAAACCTTTAGGAAACCAACTGCCTGTGTTCCTTTAATAAAGATTATTTTTAATGCGAGTCCTTAGCCTTGCAACCTTTTCCAACCTGGTTAATTTTATCTGCTGTTAAATTAATTTGGACCAGGGATATTAGAGTGTTTTTCCTCTCTATTGAGGGAATGCTTGATGTTTAATAGGATTTAGCACTGTGTACTGCTGTTGAAATTGAACCACATTAAGTATTGCAACCTAGAGTAAATAAAGTTAACGATAACCAACATGATACCAAAGAGGATCCATTGTACCTTGTAGATCCAACACATTCAGGTTTTACAACAAATTAAATGATGCATATTTTTTTTAAAACAATTTAATGTACATTTATGGTTAAAAGCTTGATTTTGTTCCAAAAGATCTAAGCAGTTTGTCCACATCCAACATAAATGACTTGACAGCAAGGAACTTAAAAGCTTGTGTAGCGAATGTGACCCTCTTTCTTCTCACCTGTTAGAGAGGCATACTGGGAAAAGACCTCTCTGGGAGTTGGTCCCAGCATGAGAAAGACATCGATGATTCCACTTTCTGAGATCCAGCGGACATCAGTCTGTGGCGTTTCACTGGAGCCTTGAACATAATCCAGCATTTTTCCAAACACAGTCTGAAGAGGAACAAAAACATTATTTGGAAACCAAAAGAAAACCAGAAAAAAAGAAATCCTGCTGGTTAGAGGTAACGGACTTCACCTTTCCTGCTGTGTTTGAACTTATATCCACCCAGGTTTCTGCAGCATTGAGCCAGAAGATGCCTGTAGTGCGCTGAGCATTGTGTGCCAACATAACAGGGACACTCCCATACAGAGCCATAGGGTTGTACAATTCATACTGGAAAACATCCAGGTTATAAAGCCGATAAGGATCCCCGCTACTGGAGAAAAAAAAAGAAAAAAAAAAAAGAGGCATTTCAACTGTCATATCCATATCTGACTTTCGTAAATGAAACCCGCAGCTGGCACTCACTCTGTTGTTTTAAGTTTGAGGGTGTCGGCATGTTCTGGGATGCCATAGACGTGCTCCACGCCTGGCAATGAGAAGTCTAAACTGACAGCAGAGGGTCCTGAGGAGCGAGACAACAGCACTCAGAGGACATACATTCAAGTTTTCTTCAACATTTTAATTCTAACATTCGAAAATAAAATCTTTCACTCTGAAGAACATGGAGGCGTTAAGAACCGTTATGGTGTACCATTTGGTTTGCTGTCTGTGTGCGATTTAAACGTTTCTTCCCACATCCCGTCTTCTACTTTCTCTTCCTCTTCTTTAGTGGTCTGGTAGTCAAAAAAGAAAAAATAGTCACGGAGGAGCAGAAACCACGAGTTAAACTGTAAGGAGTAAAAGAAAGAATCCTAACATACCTCGACCTGGCTAGGCGGATCTGTCGCCTCTTTGTTGTCAGCCTCCGGATCAGCCTGACTGCTTGGGGTGAACGATGAAGAGGAAGAAATACAGGAAAAATAGTGTTACTTTTGCAACCATCTTATGAGAGCCATAATATTCTGAAATAATGAAGCTAAAGTTAAAGATAAAAGGCTGAAAAGGGGGCAGGAATATAACTGCCCCCCCACTGCAGGGACAGCTAAATGCGACTCTACAGACCCAGGGACTAAACTAGGACCATAGATGGGGACTGAACAACACGCTGCCCTGTGGCTGCTTCAAGGGTGGAGAGATTAGAGTTAGATATGCTGCACCACACCTCACCAGAAAAATAAAAAAAAACGAAGAAAAACCCCAGATTAAAGCAGAGATTCATAAAAAAAATAAATCAAAATCCTTGAGCTGCAGAAGTAGGTGAACTTAAGCGGTAACATGCAGTGGACAGCTGACAGGACCAGTCAACGTCCAGAGGAAACAAAATAAAATGACCTTCAATCAATGCAAACAGAGATGCTGCCAATGGGAGCTGATCAGCCTGTAAGCTACACTGAAAGGACACAGACTGCATGTGGGTTTGCAAAGCACATCTGTCCAAAGTGTCTAAACCCCTTAAACATGGGCATTGTATGTGATAGACGGACAAAAAGCAGCTTTCAATCATCACGCTGAAAGAAAAAATAATCAGACGTTGCAAAGAGATCCATAGTGACTCAGGAGGAGCTACAGAGATGTATGGCTCAGGAGGAAGAATTTAACAACTATCTGTAATGTAATACACCCATCACTGGTGGAAAACAAACTGCACATGACCCTGAAAACGCCAAGTCATGATGTGAGGGGGTTTCTCCTCAGCAGGCAGGGGATGGAAAAATGAACTAAACTGAATATAGAGAAATTGTTGGGGGAAAAATACTTTTACAGCCTTCAGACTGTAGTGGATGTTCACTTTACAACAGATCAGCAAAGCTACACCTACAGCTAGAGCTATAATGGGGTTTCATAATAAAAGCATATAGGAGCAGCCTGGTCAAAGCTCTCACTTAATTTTGGGACTAGACTTAAAGTTTGGTCTTTACTGATGTTTTCATCAGAATTTTTTTAATAAGTTAGAATGACCAGAAAAAATACTTTAGTTTCTAGATGTAGAAAGCCGGTATAGACGCACCTTAAAAATTAAAATTGGAGGAAAATTTATTTTTTTCCACTTTACAAATAGGACTGGTCAATTAAATGCATTTAAGAAAAGCTATTTTTCAAAATTTCACTGTTCACATTACATTTAACAAAAGGAAGAAGCTGACATTTCTCATCAGGTGGCAGCAATACTCTTAAAGTTGGCTTCCAAAAACAAAGAAGGGAAAAGAAAGTTGCAGGAAGCATGGAGATGCATGCATGCAACGAGAAGTAAGAACTTTCCCACACAACAGCAACAGTACAATCCTCCCACAGTGAACTCTGAAATAGCAATTTGTTATGGTTATGAAAATAACGAAACCCTGGAGCAAAACATCTACATGCTGGATGGTGCAAAGAATAAAGAAAAGAAGATCACATTAGATTTGCAATATTGGATGGGGGAAAAAAGATCATAAAAAAGGGATTTTTGGGAAAAAATGTTCATCCCTTACACAATCATCTGTGCACAACTCTGTGCTGGTCTGTCACATAAATGCACAGTAAAGTACATTCAAGCATATTTGATTTATTATCGTTTTTATGATCCGATTGATTTGTTTAGTAATTCCAGAGTCAAATCTACATCCGAACACCTCCATGCACGCACTGACCCACATCCTCAGCTAAAGCCACATTTATCTCAGGGTAAAGAACAAACTTGGTGTGATGGGATACTCCATGTTTTATGTAACTATGGGAAGCAATAGCACAAGGAACAGAATATACACAAATCTTAAGGGTCTTTACCTAGAGAATACCCTCTTGATATTATCCCACACGCTAGCCACTGTGCTAGTTACTTTATAGGAGAAACTGGGATGATAGGGAGAAAAGGACAGAACGAGTCAGAGACAGTACTGAAAAAAACAAACAAAAAAAATATATATCATGGGAACAGAAACTGAATTCATCCACTGAGTGACAACATGGGTAAAAAAAAAAGAAAAGAAAAAAGACAGGTCTGTCTGTGGAAGTGTGAGTGTGTGTATTCTCACGTGTCCTTGCGCATCCTCAAGTGCTCGAAACCAAGCAGGCCACGTGAGTTCAGGGACATCAGCACGTCACGTCCCTCAACGATGTCGAGCCTGAAGGGCCGAGCACTGACAATGACCCGCTGGGACTCTGCTCCCAGGGACAGAACCACCCCGTTCTCATCCTGGGACAGGAGGGAGAGGCTGAGGGAGAAAAATTCAGAAATTAGGAAGAAATGTCTATCTACGGCTTAAATAAGACTCTGTATTTATTTCAGACAAAAAATTTTAAATTTCTCAATCCACTCCACACAGATCTCACAGGACACTCACGGCTCAGTGGGCGGCTCCCTGATCAGCACATCGGGGACTTCATAGCGAGGCTTCAGAGGCTTCAGCTCGTTAATCTTCACCCTCGTTATGTTTCCCTGGAGACGGTAGAGCTCCAGCAAAAGACGCACCTGAAAGATGACATCAGCAGATTTCTCTGTAACACCACAGCAGTGTCAGGAAGCTGACTGATCAAGGAGTTGGGATCGCTATTCAACTTCTGCCACAGGCGGCGTTTTATTTAAGCTATTCAGCATAGAGGACAAAACCGCTTCTTTAATGATAACGAGTCACATGTCAACCAACACGAAGGTTGACCCAGAAAACATCCTCAGACATAAATGTTTCTGCAAGGAATGATGCTTTGAACGTTTGACAAAGAAGGTTTAATTGTAACTTAAACAATAATATCAATTTGCATTCAATCTGCTAAAATCAGATTTTCAAAAAGATGAGGTTTAACTTGCAGCACAAACATTTAATTAGTCTCTGGAGAAATACTGATGAGAGCTTTCACCTCCCCTTCTTACTGGGTGCAAAGATGCCTTGATCTCAAGTGTTTGTTTATTTAAATAAGGCAAAAAAAAAAAAAAAAAGACAGACAGACAGACAAAACAATAAAGTTTTATGACATAATGACCTAGTCATGATTAGGTTTGTACGTTTAAATCCGCCTTCAAGTGCAGAAACCCAGATTCCCAACACAGAAAATATTTATTATACAAAGATTAAGGTAAAAAAAGAAAAGAAAAACAAGCTCCAGGATTAAGTGAAACTAATCAAGATAAAACAACCTAAAGTATATAGTATAGAAATATACAGTTAGTTCCATTTGACTTTGTGCTAAAATCCAGAGGTTTATAGTTCCAAGCTGTTGTAGCCAAAACAAAGCCCAAATCATCATTCTCCCTTCACCATACTTTGCAGTTGCTATAACATATTTGTGAAGATTTATACCCATTGTTACATTATGTACGTCCAACTGATCCATTCTTTCCAACAATACAAATGCAGTAAACATTAGATTGCAATGTAACGTATGGTCCACCAAACATCTGATCCCACTACTTCTGGTTACATCACATACACTATATTAGCTATAAAGATTTATTGCCTTAACATGCGATGGCGCAATACACCTAGTCTTGTATTTTCATCCAATCTGTGGTTACAACTTTACTAGTGTAGATAATGAATGGTGCGTTGAGAAAAAAAAAAGAAAACTTTAAACCTTCTCGTTTGTTTGTTTTAGTTTAAGAGATGTCCTTTTAGTTAATAGTAGAAAATCTGTTGGGTAGAATTAATTCAATTTCACCCTAATGGAATCCATAGCTTTTACTATAATGGAAGCAGAAATAGAAAGATATAATATCTGACAGTTATTAACTGGACAGCACCATGTCTCAATGGGAAAAGGCATGAGTTTTAAAAAACTACAGAAGATGTCTGATCATCCAAGTAAAAAAAATTAAAAAATACCAAAACATCATGTTTAGCATTACATGTATTTAGTGATATATTACCTTTTGCCCTCTCATTTTTAAACACACAGACATCTCCATATTTATCAGATTAAAATAATCATTTTTTTTAACCCAGCCTGATATTTTTTGCATGCACTTTCTGAAATGAGCCTGTTTAATTTCAGTAACTTCCGGAAAAGAAGAAAAAAATATATTTGTGGTTTAAGTCTTTAATTAAAAAATTATCACAAGATGTGCAAGGAAAAACACACTCCCCACATCAGCATTAGTGTTCAGTTTAGCATAGCTCTTCAACCTTTAGCAGCATCCTTTTGGTGCTTTGGAAAAAAATATACATATAAAATATACATTTCTCAATTTCACACATTGAAATTAATACAACCATTGAAAAATAAAAACCTAGAATGGAGAAAGAAAACAGTGGTACATTACAACTTATGGGCACTATTCCTTCAGTTTTCACAGCATGGCTATTTTTTCTTTTTTTTCCCTTTTT